CCTTCAAAAATGCAGCAAGAGTCTTCTCTTTTTGTACAGGCTCAGAGAGTTGTACACCATTTCAGCAGAGATGTCTGATCTTTCCATCTGCATACCTGGAGGTGCTTTATTCCCGGAATGGTCTTGTCAGTAACCACTAAAGACTTCTTGGGGCCAAACACTGGAACAGATGAGTTAAATCCTTCTGGAATGTTCTTCATCAGACGTAGATGTACTGGACTTTCTGGATGTGCCTAAGGACACAAAGGTTAGTGTCTTCCTTAAAAGCCTCAGGTTTCAGGACTGTTTCATTTCATCTTTAGCACCAGGAACTGTGTTTCAGTTTGTTGCTTGAACAGGGACACAGATGAATAAAATGGTGATTAACACAACATATATACAGCTGAGATCATGCTTTTAACTGCCTTGTAATAAATGTTCTTAGTGAGCTCAGGCAACCTAAAGGCTTCTAAATGACTAGCTGGCCACCAAGAGAAGGCTCTCCCCATGCTCTAAGCTTGATTGCTATTAACCACTTTTGTGGAATTTCTTCTAGACTTGCTTTTAGTGCATTTCAATCACTCTCACTTGATTTACAACTGTTAAAAAGGAGACAATATTCTATTTTGTTCTTTACAGTCAATGAGGATCAGAGTCTTTGTTCAACTGCGTGCTTGCTTGTTCTAGATGGTATGTAGGCTTCAGGGGAATGCCAAAGACACTCATAGCCTGTAGGAAAAAATTAATTTATTTTTAATGGCAGCTATTCATATTCTGGAATCTGTAAGATTTTGATAAAATGCTTTTTCTACCCTTTGGTTTCTCTTAAAACATTATGTAATCTGCTGATATTATTCTGACACTACATTACCACCTCCGGAAATCAACTTTGACCAGAACAATTCACTGACATAATTTTTCTATGGTATGATTGAAAACATAGAATAAATAATTTTGTAAGCAGATACATGCTCAGAAAGGTGGTAGAATGTGTGTGGGCATATGGGCTCATCAAGTCATGTCTCAGACACATAACTGACAAGTAAAGTAGCAAGATCATAAAGATACATCAGGATTTTCAGCACGAATCATAACATTATAAAAAACCACTATGTTTATAATGATGTGGATCATGCTATGAGCAGTAGAGAAGAAAAGTGAACAATCATGTAACCTTGATTTTATTCTATGATTGCCATCTGTTTTTCATTTTTTGCAGAATATTCTTCAGGATTAATGCTCTATCTGGGTTTGGGGGAAGAGGAGGAAAAATTATTTTCAGTTTCATTCTGCCAGCTTCATATTCTCTCATATGAACATTGAAAAAAAACCCCTACTTTTAGAGAAGCTACTTTTTTCTTATTAAACATGTCCTATTAAATCTATAAAAATCTATTAAAATAATTTCAGGAAACCTTTTGGCTAAAGCAGACAGAGCTCAAATTTGATGCAATTAAACTATATGAATTGAGTTCTTTTTTTCTTATTTTTGTGGAGGGATTCTAGTGTTATCGTCTGAATAATAGCTTTCTAACCAATCTTCTTCTGTCTGCTACTCTAGCTAGCATTTGAGTTTGTATTCTAAACACCAACTCCCAGTATAAAATAAACAAAAGATAAATATCATCTCTCATCAAAAAGAAGTTTGCCCATTGGCACCAAATAGTTACTCCAGACAGGAGGAGGAAAACAAAAAAAAACAAACAAAAAAAACCCCCAAAAAACCCCAAAAAACAAATACAGTTTTATTTTATCTAAGTTCTATTGAAGTTATAGAGAATCTTTGTAATAGACTTCAGTAGGAACAAGAACATGAATATAAAAATATAGACTCCATTTAAAAGCAGAAGGTTAGAGGAGTTGCAAGATTATACAAAGTTTGCTGTGTGGAGAGCTGTGTTAGTTCTGTGAGGTGCCTAAATATTTTCCAAGAAAGTAAAATTGATATAAGAGGATATGTTGTAGCTTTAATATGTGGACTTTTTAAATAATATTACATCTTTTATACCAGTGTGTGTGTGTATATTATAAAGTGAATTAATATCTCAGTTGCAGAGTTAAAATGCCAAATGTGTTGTAAACTCCATCTTCCTGCACTGTGAGTATGTTTGTGCTTGGGAGGTTTGTGTAATATGTCTGTGTGTGACTGATAAATAAACATAAAGGATAGGATTATGGGTTTGGCTAGCTCAGCATAGTTGTTGATAGAACCTTGCTGTTTTAGGACAGATAATGCTGAAAGATAGAATTGTAGAATGGTTTAGGATGGAAGGGGTCTTACAGATCATCTAGTTACAAGCTGTCTGCTATGGGTAGGGACACCAGCCTGGCCTTGAATATATCCAGGGCATCCACAACTTCTCTGGGTAACTTCTGCCACTATTTCACCACTCTGCATAAAGAATTTCTTCCCAACGTCTAATCTAAACCTATCCTCTTCCAGGTTAAAGCCATTGCCCTTGTCCTGTCACTATCTGCCAATATAAAAAGTCCCTCTTCCTCCTTTTTATAAACCCTCTTAAGGTACTGGAAAGCTGCTATAAAAGCCCTCTCTTCTTGAGGCTGAACAACACAAGTTCTTTTAGCCTGTCTTCATAGGGGCGGTGCTCCATCCCTGTAATCACCTTTGTGGCTCTCCTCTGGACCTACTCCAACAGATCCATATCTTTCTTATGCTGAGGTCTGTGGACCTGGATGCACCACTCAGGTGGGGCCTCACAAGAGCAGTGCTGAGGAGGAGAACCACCTCCCTCGACCGGCTGGCCATTTCTCTTTTGAAGCAGGCACGGGATGTGTTTGGCCTTCTGGGCAGTGAGAGCACACTGTTGGCTCATGTCCAGTTTTTCCTCCATGAGAGCCCCCAAGTGCTTCTCCACAGGGCCGCTCTCAAGGAGTTTGTCTCCCGGTACTCATATCCAGAATTGCCCCAATTTGGGTGCAACTTGCACTTGGACTTGTTGCACTTCATGAGGTTAAGTATCCTCCACATCTTTCACTTTGCTTACAGTATTGCTACTAAAGCCTACATTCATTAATACCAATACATACATTTGGATGCAAAATGTTGTAAAAAAATGTGCTTTATTTTTCATTTCTGTGGATGTCATGGTTAATGCTTCAAAAGATATTACAAACATTATTTCATAGATTGGAGAACAAACTGTCTTTGACAGATAATAGACATGTTCGTTTGAACAGTGCAAATCAAAATGAATAAGCTAAATTATCTGACTGGCTGTAAAACCAGTGGAGTGCCACCTGTCCAAATTTTCCATGGTTAATTTTGGTTACTGAATTTTATCAAACATGTGCAGGCCATGTGATTTATACACAAGACCCACAAAAGCTTAGATAGCAAAAGGAAGAAATTACCCTGATGTAAGTGAATAATTATGTTTATACTGAATTGAGTATCTATATTGCATTTAATGAGAGGGGAAAAAAAAAAAGGCTTGTGAACTGGGAACATTTGGCATAACCTGAGATTTAAAACTAATCCTGGAGATTTTGTGCTAAGCCTACAACATACAGACTATATTCTGGAGGCTACAACTTCCTCCCAGAAGTTGGGAGGAGAGTCCCCTGACACAGAAAAAACTGAATTCTGTCCTTCCATGTCCTAGGAGGTTGAACTAATGTGTGGAAACAAAAATATCTCCTGTGAAATATATTTTTTGAAGAAAAACCCAGAAGTGATCTATCCACCATTTCAGAAGTTGGTCAGAGCTGTGAATCCTAATCTAAAGCAACAAGACTGAAACTCAGCAGAAGGTCCCTAAAGATCCAGAAAAACATTGTGTTTAAGATATGTCTGTACCCTTGTCATCACCTTTGCATGTCTCGTTGGTCCCCCTGAGGACCACCTTTCACATGAGATTGACCTCATCTTCCTCTTAGCCACTACTTCTTATGAGAAAGCATAAAGCTACATACATCTATCCATAACAGCAAAACAGGGCTTAGGCATCAGTTTGATCGCTGGCTCCTGCTCATCCATCCATCCCATTCACGTATTTCCTTGGTCTTGCCCAACACTCCATTCACTGCACGGTCGGTTTCAGGGAGGAGGTAGGGAAGGAACAGTTTCCAAGAAGCAGCTAATACAGACACCTTTTTTGGGGGTGAAGAGACAGGGTCACCCACCCTCTGGGCAAGAGGATTAGTCCTGGTTTGTTCAACTTAGAAACGCACACATGGCCAAGTATTGCAAAGCCCAGGCTCCCATTGACTACGGTGGGAGCACAGACATCTTTTCTTGTAAATGTTTACACAGGTCACCATTTAAAGGACAAACAATCTGAGGAGGATAAGCTGAGACACCTCCTCTTCCATTCCAACTCTTAGCAAGGATGTAATAAAAAGTATTTGCAGTATTTAGTGCTTTCATGTGGTAGAAAATGATTGCTCAAACAGGTACAGTGCCCTCTAATCCTTATCCCCAGGGCCTTTTTCTTTTTTTTTTTTTTTCCTATCATGTAATTTCTGGCTTTAATGAGATAAAGAACTCACATGAATGAAGTTATGCTTACCATGCTACTCTTGTGGCAGAAGTCTATCCCCTGTGTCTTCTTGTAAACTCATGGTGTTTTGCTCTCCTTTGTGTAGTCTTTTCTGAAAACTTTCAATATGAATTTACCTTAGTAGAACGTTAGACATCACATCTATTAGCTGATTCTGATATTTGTCATACAATTTTCTCTGTACAAATTAAAAAACTTGTAAACATGGATTTTTTTCAGTAAAAAATGATGAGAGATATGATGATAAGCTTTAACAATATAATAATTAAATAATTAAAACATAAATTCATAAATTCTAGACACTTTGTTCTTTCTAGTAAAAATGTGAATATCAAACAGTTTTTACAAGAGGTAGTAAAGGATTTATGGCTTTCCCTCTCTCAATAATTTAATTCATGTAAGATTTTAAAAAAATATTTGATTTAAGAAAATGTGGGCATTTTTACTTACTTGGAAAAAAGGCATTTTAAACAGCAGGATGTAATTTCAGACTATTTGCAGTCAAGAGGCCTCTACTGAGCAAAATACTCATTCAATTTAGGAATGCAGATTATAATAATTTTCCTATCTCCCTCACAGCAGGACTCCTGCCATCGTTTTGCAAACCCACAGGTTGTAGTATTGAATGACTAGCTAACTTCAGTTTCAGGTAACACATGCTTTAAATATATTCTCATTAGCTCAACTTAGTTATAATGCAAAGCTGCTTAGTTTCACCAAGTGAAATGGGATACACTTAAATTGCCTC